TGCTGTACAAAAATTTGTGAGTGCTTTACTTGAAGTTAAAGTACTCCTGCTGCAGTTGGATTTCATTCTCAATAGGGATCCATAGAATTTTATGCTTAAGAATCTGAATTTTAGTTTATCTGAATGCAAAAATTTGTTAACTTATGACTTGTGCTTTCCCACTGGGCTGAAACAGATGGCTGTAAAGGGGCAACATGATGCCGCCCATTTGAGTGCCAGGTTGGGGCCATGGCAGCTGTGCCTCCATCCTGGCTTTTTTCTGGTGTAAAAAGAAGTGGCAAAATGCTGCTTCTTTTTGTGCCAGAAAAAAATGGCTTTTCTGCTGTGGCGGCAGCCTTTCTGTGCTCCTGTGGTGTGCAGTGTATAAACACCATGCCACCAGAGTACCACAATGCTGCCCATTGTGTGGTCAGGTGGGTGGCATGACGCCGGCTTGGGGACAGTGTTGGGGTGGGCATCATCTAAATGCCATGCCCCCACGCCACCCTCAAGCTGGTGAATTGTTTTGGTCTGTTCAGCCAGACTGTTTTCTTTGTGCTGTATGCTTGAAGAGTTCTGAACATCTGTTAGTTGCAGGCAGTGCAGTTCAGAAGCTTTTTAGCAGTTCAACAGCCAGTTAACTGGTAGTAGCTGGTCACTTATCCAGCACTTCGAGTGTCTTGACAGACCCAAGTATGTCTTAAGTTTTCTGATAGCCAAATTTTAACAGAAGCCATTGTATAAAAAGAATACTTTGACAGATTATGAAAGGTATGCCCTTTATCTAGAAAATCTGCAAGAGTTATAAAAAATTATTATAAACATTTTTTTGGGTGGATTTATATGAACAGTGGTTTAATACAGGTTCATTGGACTGTTTGTGTGTTTGTTTTAAAAAAATCTCTTTTCACCAAGTGATCAAGGAAAGTTACTACTAAAGTTGCTGTTATTCTTGATGGGAAATCTAGACAGTAACTGGTCAGCGAAAGAAAAGTTACAATCAATTTCCATAAAATATAGTTGTATGTGCAAAGTAATAACAAAAATATATTCCGACTCAATTTGAACAAAAATTTCATTTCAAAAATGTCATTTGTGGTGCTCCTCTGAGGCTGCTTTTTGTTCTTTTGTTGTTCTAAGTACTCTTTCCACCCAAGTATAGTATGAAAGAGGAGAAACAGATGAAAACTAATAAGAGAGATCCTTCAGTAATTTCATATTTTTTCATAGGATATCTGACTAGATGATGGGAAACTTTGCTAGAAGAGCATAATGAAATAGCTTCTGATAGGCAATCGGCTTTGAGAATTTTAGTCATTTATGAACCGGTGTGTTGACTAATATAGCCTGCTCCAACTTTTCATTGCATATTAAGTTGTTGAACAATTTGAGGTTTTACCAGTAAGTTTTAATTATATTGCTATCTCTTGATTGCTCATCATAGCTCATTTATAGTATATATAACAATTCTGAAATGGATTCAGACAAATTGTTCTTTGGTTCCTTCCTAAACAAAAATTTAGCAATAAATACCACAGACTGATTCAAGGCACCCAGTATGTGTACAAAGCTGTCTGGGCATTTGTCAGATGTATTTGTTACAGGTGAAAATATTCATTTTAAGACACTGACAGCTTAATTCTTCATGTATTGAACCTACCATCTAGAGTTCCATAAATGTGTGAAATTGAACTACATTTCCATTTTATTTTTACTATGGATTTGCACTATAAAATAATTATCCAAAATGCTTGGGACTAGAAGTATTTTGGATTTAGGATTTTTTTTTATTTTAGAATACATTTGTGCATGTGTGTGTGTGTAATGAAATAACTTGTTATCAAGATATTTTGATATAAAGTGTAAATATGAAATTCATTTATCTTTCATATGCACCTATACATACCCTTTTATATAATTGTGTAATTTTATAATTATGTAATTATATACACAATATTTTTTAATAATTTTGCCCATGAAACTAAGTTTGTGTACAGTGAACCATCAGAAAGCCAAAATGTCATTATGGCAGCCACCCATGAAAAATATTTTGGATTTTGGAGTATTTTGGATTTCAGAATTCTGAATAAGGGGGAGACTTTACCTCTATAGGGCAGGGTTAGGCAACCTAAGGCCCGGGGGCCGGATGCACCCCCCCGAGGCCTTTGGACCAGCCCAAGGCTGGTTCTGCCGCCGCCGCTGCCTCCCCCTGCCGCCCGCTATAATGATATTGATTATTGTTGTTATTGCTTATTCTTGGGGTTTTCTTGGCAAAATCTCCACAGGGGTTTTGCCATGGCTTTTCTGGGTCTGAGAGAGTGTGCATGCATATTTTTTTAAACTTTTTTTTTTTAATTTTAATTTTTATTTATTTATTGTTGGTGCTTCGGCCCCCCAATTGTCTGAGGGACAGCAACCTGGCCCCCGGCTTAAAAAGGTTGCCTACCCCTGCTATAGAGTCTTCATTTCTGTAATGGGCTCTACATGGGGCTACCCTCGTGCTTATTTTGGAAACTTCAGTTAGTCCAGAATATGGCAGCCAGACTGGTCTCTGGCATATCTAGACGAGACCATATATCACCTGTCTTGAAAAGACTTCACTGGCTGCTGATTAGTTTCCGGGCTCAGTACAAGGTATTAGTTATGACCTTTAAAGCCCTACATGGCTTGGGTCCAACCTATCTCCGGGACAGCCTCCTTCTGTATGATGCACTTCGGTCCTCTCAGAGGAATTTGCTTCAGCCTGTTATAACTAGGCTGTCTGCAGCCTCCCAGAGGACCTTCTCGGCAATTGCTCCAGATTGTGGAACGGCCTGCCGGACGAGATCTGTCAGATTACCAGTTTAAACAGCTTCAAACAGGCTGTAAAGACGGATCTCTTCTGGCAGGCCTTTACGGACTAATTTTTCCCAGCCTGAGAAGTGAGCTCACCCTATCTCTACTCTCTGTCGCATTCATAATCTGTTGCCTGCCTGCTATTATGATGTTTTTTAAATGTTATAGCTGATTGTTTTATTGTTTTTATTGTTTTATATGCTTGATGTTTAATGCTATTTTAAGGGGTGGGAGGGGGTTCTTTAGGATTTTATATTATGACATTTTAATTTTGTAAGCCACCCCAATTGCTTCAGCAGAGGGGCGGGATAGAAATAAATTTTATATTATTATTATTATTATTATTATTATTATTATTATTATTATTATTATTATTATTAATTTGCCTATTTAACATATGAATTTGGTGTTCTGGTACCACACTTTTTAAAAACTTGCTTCTCCTGAGGTCCACCCAGAGAATCTCCAAAGGAGAGCTTTTGAGTTCCACATTTTATAGTTCAATACATGAAAAGTTTTGAAATATTATTATGTCTTGCCTGAGCTGAAAGACACATTGTTGCCCCTGAATCCTGGCTCCTTTGTTAACTCAGTGAAGGGTTCAAAAGCATCTTGGATGTTCTGAGATGGCAGATATGAAGGAAAGATCTCAGACAATTTGAGAAACATTTTGTGAGACAAATCTATTTGATCAAAATTGTCTCAAACTAGGAGAAATGTATATGAGGCTTAGTTTTCAAAATGTTGAACACTCAGTCGTTTTAAAGAGCAAAAGTCTGTTGGATTTATTTTCTCCTGTTCTGTAGGACAAAAATCTAGTCAATAGAAGGAGTAAAGCATAAAGGGGCACTTACAGGTTGTGTTGTAGACACCTAAACCTAGTGGGCAACACATAAAATGATTTTGAAATATATTAAGAATTCTGTGTTGGGACTAGTGTTGTTACATTACTGGGATAGTTCAGCTATGATATATTATCCCGAGACAGCAAAATGGTTTCTTTGTGACAGACCTTGTTCCTCCTTAAGAAACTATGTGTGTTTTTACTTCTTCCCAGATGTTTGTATGTAGAATGAAAGTAAGGCAATGGGTATCAGGAAAAGGAACAGAGGTGGATGCTAATAACAGTTGCAAGTGTTCTCCATAACCTGAAACGTGTTATATCAAATCTATAGCTGCAGTAGGTAGTATAGCTCAATGTAAGTTGCTTTGAAAGGCTGTATGGTTGAATGAACGAGAGTTGCCTTTGTCATATTAGAAAGCTGAGAGTTTTTTTACAGTTCTTTCTGAAATGATTTGGTGTCATTTCCTGTGATTATTTTGTGTGCTGTCTATGTGTGTCTGTCCACGTGTGTATGCATGCACTTGCTTGCAGAAAGAGTGTAGAGTTCTGATCAGTTAAGCTCTGGCCCAAAACATGCTGCAGAAATAATCCAGTTTGAGCTAGGAAATTCTGGGAACTGTAGTTTTGTGAGACATTTAGCCTTCTCTGTCAGAGAGCTCTGGTGCCACAATAAACTTCCCAGAATTCCCCTAGCACTGAGCCAGGGCAGTCAAATTAGTCTCAAACTGGATTATTTCTTCAGTATGTTTTGGACCTCTGCTTAGTACAAGAAACATAACTACTAGTTTCTAGGCTTTTTTAACCTAATGAAAGTCAAAGTCACAATTTCCTCCTTTTTTGTTCTGATTTTTAAAGCAATTTTTATTTCCCTTTTCTTCCAACTTAATAGTACTTTTACAAGATATAAAATAATGCTAATGCAGTGCTTCTTAAGCTATTTAATGTGAGGGACCAGCAACAACAATTTAGTTTGCTAGGAACTAGTAACATATTTGTGCCTGTTGGCTAAAATTGCTTTTTTCTCCTTTCCCGGAAGCTCTCCAGTTTGAGTAGCACTGCTCTAAAGAACATGGGGAATGGTTATTAGCCAGATGAAGGACAAAAAGTTGTGAAGGGCAGGAAGTCAATTTGCAATAAAGTGTATTTATGTTTAGAGATAGAAAGTCTGGGGTGGGTAAATGGGAGGGCTACTTTCATATTTTTACCAGAGACCTGGATAAAAAATCCGGAAATCTGGGGATTAGTGAATTATTTTATTTTTAAAAATGATTTAAATGTCATTTGTGCATACTATATGTTTATAAAGTAAAAAGTAATAATAAAGAAATTACAAAATTACAGAGCCAGCATGCTGTAGTGGTTTGAGCATTGGACCACAACTCTGAAGATCAGGGTTCGATTCCCTGCTCAGCCATGGAAACCCACTGAGTGAACTTGAGTGAGTCACAATCCTTCAGCCTCAGAAAAGTTTGTAATAGGTTTGCCTTAGGGTTGCCATAGGTTGGAAATGTCTTGAAGGCACACAGCAACAGCAAAGATTGTCCAAAGGCTTTTTGTCCTAGCATATTATCCTGGAATGACATCTGAGATAGTGGTGGTTCAGAAACACAGCGTTTGCCATTTTCTCAAGAGATTTCATGTTATATAGAAGTAATCAGATTCATATGTCATATATGGGTGTACTGCCTTTCTAAATTTCCAGTGTCAGCATCGTACCAAAGTTCTGCAATTTCTGTGTTGCAATTTTCAATGGATCACTAGATTTTTATGAAAAAAGATTTTATGGTAACGAGCAGATAACAGTAATAGTGCTGATCTCAGAAAATTAAAATAATTTTCACAACCAGTTCCTGATAAGGTTAAAGGTAGTTCTTTCATTTTTCTCCTTTCTAAAATTCTTTTTAGAGTTACAGCATCTTTGTGCCTCAGTGAAATAGTGAAGTAGCAGTTTTGCACTGAAATGCTGCTTTGTCGATGTACTGATGCACTATGACTAAGAAAAATTACTCCCCCAAAATAATAATTCATAAGAACACAACACAACTTTAGCAAACAATGTTCCCATTAATAGGGGACTGTAGTAGGAGAAATGAATAAACACAACTTCCTCACATAAGCTATTAAAATATTACAATAAGTTTAGATGACTAGAAAGAAAATATTGTGTGTATTTCCACTTTTCTACAATTCTTGGTTTCCCTTGCTCACTTTCCCTTTCTTCCAAACCAATAAAAGGGATTTTTCAGAATCATCTTCATTTCCAGAGACTTTCCATGCCTGCTTAAAATTATAACAAATTTTGGAGCAGCTGAGCAAATATTTGGACTTTGTTGCCTTCTACAGTAAACTGTGGATTTATGAATGCATTTTATTTATATACTGTATTTCTCCCAGCATAGGAAAACGAAGTTTTGAAAAGTTTCTTAATCTCAGGTTGGTTCACATGTTTTAATTACAGTGAAATGAGCTCTGTGCAACACTGACTATACTGTAATCCGGGAAGAAAATCTAAGCTAATTTTGCAACAAGTACAGATTTGGGGGAGAAAGTACACTGATTAGTTTTTCAACAGATGAAGTACAGTTTCATACATTTTTCATCACTAAGTGACGCACACTTTTTGTATCATGGATACATTTTGTACTTTGGAGAGTTTAATTGTGGAGGAAATTGTGTGAAGTGGCCCTGGAAAATGATGTATGGTTACACTTCTCAGTTAGTTTAATAATTTAATAATGACACAATTGTATTCTTTAACCCCCTTGTAAACTTGACCAATATATTTTCTATCCCTGAATCTTTAATTGTGATGAAAAAAGGTTCTGATCCCTGCTTTACAGAAGATATTGGTGGTTAACAGAGTGAATAATGACTTAAGGAACCTGTATGAGTTCTAGTATTTAACACATTTCAGAATGCCAAGATAAGTAAAGTGGTGGGCTAGTCAATGATAGAAGAAGGCTTTTAGCAAAAATCTATATGCACACACTTGTTAATAATGAATTGTAAAATACTTGAGTATGACAGTCTTATAGTCCCTATTGCATTCATCTTTGCTACAGACATAAGATGCTGACTCCCATTTTATAGATTAGAAATCTAAAATGATGAAGATCACTCTCAACTGTCTGTGATAAACTCCTACATCTCAGGAGAAAATACAATATTTTAGCCATGTGCCTGTAGTAACAGACTAAAGAATAGGACGTGTGTGTACTTTCCATTACAGTATTTGAGTTATTTGTGGAAAGGTTTGCTATTCATCATATTTGTAGTGTCCCGGCACTGTTTGGCTAGGATTCTTTCATTTTTCAAGGTGCAAAATAGTTTTCATTCTAGCTTGTGTGAGAGATGAGAAAATGGTCAATTAGCTAGGATTAAATTCTTACATGGGGGATTACTGAGAATAAATTCACAAATATAGGGAAACTGGGGGTGGGGGTGGGAATGAAAGCTAAATGAAGAGCATAGAATAAGCATTGGACTCAATAAGGAATAAGTTAATAAGTTAAGTGGAAAGGAAAAGGGCAGAGAAGACAGGGAATTGAAGTACTGTACATACTCATGTATAAGTCTAGAAAATTTTGTCAAAAAAATTGACTCCCAAAAAGCTGGGTTGACTTATCTATGGGTCAATGTAACTACTGTATTTTACGTTGTACTTTTCCCCTTCTCTGAGTAGAGTGGCAAAAGGTAAGAGCTTAGTTCAACCTGGGAGCACCCGAAAAAAAAGCATCAACCCCCTCTACTCTTTCTATCATGATGCTGTTTCTGGCCTTTTTAAATGCTTGGGTGGGGAAATGACAGTGGTGGCACCTCTTTTGTGCTTTCCCTCAAAGGAGTGCCAAGAGGAATTGGGCTTAGAAGGGTTTGAATGAAGACAGTAAACTTCGTCCTTTACATCCTTTGTTACATGCCCCTACATTTTACCCTTGACTTATCTACGAGTCATATCAAAATCCATAATTTTGGCCCCAAACCTCGACTTATACTGGAGGTTACTTATAGTTGAGTATATAACGTAGGTAAGGATTAATCAGGGACAGGCTCCAAACTTCACAGTGCTGTGATAGGAGAGATTGTGTGGATGATGGTAAGAGATACAAAGTAGCTCTTTTTATGCTCTTTGACACCCACAGCAGCCAGCTTGTCCTGCAGATTGTCCTGCACACACTGACAATGTAAAGATACAAGAAACACCAGAGGGCATTTGGCTGAGTTGGCTTGAGCAAACTGCTATTTTACTCAAAATAAAACAAAATACGTAAAACTAGGAACAAGAGGAACACATGAGGGGTAGAGACATGGATCTGAAGAAAGGTACTGCTAAGGATTCAGCCAAAACTGTACATGGAGATTGTGTACTTTTCCCCTGAAGAATTGTGCCAGCAGATATATTTATTTAGACCACTTATGGGCAATCTGCAGAGGACTTTCATGTGGATGTCTCAAGACACTGAAATCTGACTTTTCCATTTTCAGTGGTATGGCCTGGAGGGCAGTACCCTATTACTCATATTGGATTGCGTGTGGACATAACTTAGAGCCCAGTAAGGACCCTACTTTATCAGGATCTGTAATCATGCTGCAACTTCAACATATGTTCAGTAAATGTAAATGTAAAATCCTGGGAGAACTTCCTACTGAAAACAGCAGCGTTGGGGATCTTATGGGTGGTATACATAGGGGAATTAGAATCATAGAATCATAGAGTTGGAAGAGACCACAAGAGCCATCC